GATAGATAGATAGATAGATAGATAGATAGATAGATAGATAGATAGATTCCTTTATTGGCCAAGTATGGTTGGACACACAAGGAATTTGTCTGGGTGCAAATGCTCTCAGTGTACATAAAAGAGAAGATACATTTGTCAAGAGTCAAGAATCATGAGGTACAACACTTAATGATAGTCATAGGATACAATAAGCAATCAAATCATACTAGGAAACAGTCAATAAAAATCGTAAGGATACAAGCAACAAAGTTACAGTCATACAGTCACAAGTGGGAGGGGATGGATGATAAGGAGTGATGAAAAGATTAATAGTAATAGTTGTGCAGACTTTAGTTCGGTATGTTTAGCAATAGCACTTAGACTTATATACCGCTTCACAGTGCTTCACAGCCCTCTCTAAGCGGTTTACAAATGTCAGCCTATTGCCCGCAACAATCTGGGTCCTCATTTTACCGACCTCGGAAGGATGGAGGGCTCAGTCAACCTTGAGTGGGTGAGACCCAAACTGCTGGCAGCCAGCAGCCAGCAGAAGTAGCCTGCAGTACTGCATTCTAACCACTGCACCACCACAGTTCTCGCTTTAGCTTCTGTCTCCATATTGTTTGACAGATCTATACCACCATTTCTTCGTATCAGTTTTTTTAATGATACCACTTGGTTTCACATAGCTAAAGCTATGGATGCTAAAAAGCATGCCTTTTATTCGTATTTGTTAATGAGCACTTCAGGGACCTGAATTCCAAAGCCTTTCCCATGCTCCATGGTTTATTGTCACTTCTGTGGTATTGTACAGGTAGTCCTCAACACACGATGGCTCACTTACGATTGCTCACTGCTCAGAATTATGATGGGGCTTCTTAACGATGGAAGTTCTAGCGATCATGACCTTCTTTCCCTTGCAATCCGTGAGTGAACTTTGGGCGGTTGGCAATACCACCGCATTTAGGGCTGTTTGCAACATCCTGCGATCCTGTGACCATGAGTTTTGCCGATAACTAGCATTTATTTCTGGGTTTTGGCAAAGCCTCACCTATAATGAAAACCCTTGGTTTGCTTAACAGCCGCAGGATTTGCTTAATGACAGCCACTTCACGACTATCCCATTTGCTTAACAACGACTGCAAAAAAAGGTTCTCAGTTGGGCTGGTTACTTGTCCAACCTGTTTTATAGTCACAACTCAAACCATCATGGGCAGGTTCCATTACTATGATCAATTGAGGACTGTCTGTACTGCACAGGCAGCTTTGCTGATGCTTTGTCTTTTCTCTCTCCTGCTCAGCCTTCACTGATGACTGTAGTGTTTTGAGTGAAATCTGTGCCACTCTGGCACGCCTGTCTGTCCGGAATGAATTTTGCCAGGAGATCATGGACCTTGGAGGCTTAAACTTCATAGTGGCACTGTTGGCGGACTGCATTGATCATCAGGTATTAAAATAGCAATAAACACCCTGACTGCAACAGATTATTTCATTTCTTTAGCCCAGTATAGTGAACACTAATTGTCAACACAGTAGTTACCCGTGTTATCAAACAAAGGAGAATCCTTTATACCCCAAGCTGCTTAATAAACTATGCTTATGGCTCAGGAACAAGCAATGTCATAGTTCTTAGGGCTCTAACTGTCAGCTATCACCCACTTCAGCAAGAATGAAACCGCTTAGATAAGTTCACAAGAAAAGCCAAGAACCAAGAATGAATAATGCATACTGAACAGAATTTGCCGTAATCAAAAGAATCTTATCGACTGTAGTTAATCCCAAAGGTGCTTTTTCAAAAGCTGGACTTTCTTGTTTTTTTGTTGAAGATTTTTTGCTTCTCATTCAAGAAGCTTCTTCACTTCTAAAGAACTGAACTAAAGAAGCTTCTTGGATGAGAAGTGAAACGTCTTCAAGGAAAAACAAAGAAAGTCCAGTTGCCTTTTGAAAAAGCACCTTTAGGACAACCATGATCTGGATGACTGAGGATCTCCATAGACAACTATAGTTAATCCAGAATAAATTAACTTTAAAGAGAATAGGTTCAAGCTTTGGTGCGTTTACTTTTTCATTTTGCCCTACCTAATGGACAACTTGGCTAGCTGACTAGTTTCCATCTCTTCTTTATTTTTGGAATGATCCAACTTGTCTTAGTTGGTCAACTGACTCTCCCATACTTTCTGACTGTTTTGGAATTGACGAGGGTGCTCTTAATAAGGGCTAAGGGCATAGGTTTTGATTGTGGGAAAGGAGGTATCTTAAAACTGTTAAAGCCTGTTTCAAGGCTTACATTATACTTTTAGTGTGTCTCCCACCACAGAGTACCAAGAGAAGGGTCACCCATTTGGAAGTGTCTGTGACAAGAGAATTTGCAAGCCCATGAAAGAAGCCCAGCGGAAACTGATAATGTTTTGATTGGATTCCTATAACACTCTGAATCACATAGTAGCAATCCTGGTCTCACATGTCTAAAAACATGGAGGCCCACTGTGTATGGATTTCAAAATGGTCTCTCTTGCGCATGAAAAAAAATTGAGCATGCATCCCTTATTGCAGTGAGACCATCCTTTTTTTCATGGCACTGGAATGATGGAGGCAAAATTTTCTGCTCATTTGGAACTGGTGGGGTTAAAAGTACAAAATGGAGGCTTGGGGTCTTTCAGAATTATGTCACCCATGTCTCTATCCAGGTGAAACTCGAAAAATTAGAATATCGTGCAAAAGTTCATTTATTTCAGTAATGCAACTTAAAAGGTGAAACTAATATATGAGAAAGACTCATTAAATGCAAAGCAAGATAGTTCAAGCCGTGATTTGTCATAATTGAGATGATTATGGCTTACAGCTCATGAAAACCCCAAATCCACAATCTCAGAAAATTAGAATATTACATGCAATCAATAAAACAAGGATTGTACATAGAACAATATCGGACCTCTGAAAAGTATAAGCATGCATATGTACTCAGTACTTGGTTTGGGCCCCTTTTGCAGCAATTACTGCCTCAATGCGGCGTGGCATGGAAGCTATCAGCCTGTGGCACTGCTGAGGTGTTATGGAAGACCAGGATGCTTCAATAGCAGCCTTCAGCTCTTCTGCATTGTTCGGTCTCATGTCTCTCATCTTTCTCTTGGCAATGCCCCATAGATTCTCTATGGGGTACAGGTCAGGCAAGTTTGCTGGCCAATCAAGCACAGTAATCCCACGGTCATTGAACCAGGGTTTGGTCCTTTTGGCAGTGTGGGCAGGTGCCAAGTCCTGCTGGAAAATGAAGTCAGCATCCCCATAAAGCTCGTCTGCGGAAGGAAGCATGAAGTGCTCCAAAATCTTCTGGTAGACGGCTGCGTTGACCCTGGACTTAATGAAGCACAGTGGACCAACACCAGCACATGACATGGCTCCCCAAATCAATACAGACTGTGGAAACTTCACACTGGACTTCAAGCATCTTGCAGCGTGTGCCTCTCCATTCTTCCTCCAGACTCTGGGTCCTTGGTTTCCAAATGAGATGCAAAAGTTGCTCTCATCAGAAAAGAGGACATTGGACCACTGAGCAACAGACCAGTTCTGTTGTTCTTTAGCCCAGGTAAGACGCTTCTGACGTTTGTTGTTCAGGAGCGGCTTGACAAGAGGAATACGACATTTGAAGCCCATGTCTAGGATCTAGTCTCTGTGTGGTGGCTCTTGATGCACTGACTCCAGCCTCAGTCCACTCCTTGTGAAAGTCCCCAACACTTTTGAATGGCCTTATCCTGACAATCCTCTCCAGGCTGCGGTCATCCCTGCTGCTTGTGCACCTTTTTCTTCCACCCTTTCCCCTTCCACATAACTTTCTATTAATGTGCTTTGATACAGCACTTTGGGAACATCCAACTTCTTTTGCAATTACCTTTTGAGGCTTTCCTTCCTTATGGAGGGTGTCAATGATGGTTTTCTGTACATCTGTCAGGTCAGCAGTCTTTCCCATGATTGTGATTCCTACTGAACCTGACTGAGAGACCATTTAAAGGCTCAGGAACCCTTTGCAGGTGTTACGGCTTAATTATCTGATTAGAGTGGGACACTTTGAGCCTAGAATATTGAACCTTTTCACAATATTCTAATTTTCTGAGATTGTGGATTTGGGGTTTTCATGAGCCGTAAGCCATAATCATCTCAATTATGACACATCATGGCTTGAACTATCTTGCTTTGCATGTAATGAGTCTATCTCATATATTAGGTTCACCTTTTAAGTTGCATTACTGAAACAAATGAACTTTTGCACAATATTCTAATTTTTCGAGTTTCACCTGTATAAAATAGGCCAGGAATGGGGGACAGGCATTGATCAGCCTCATCTGGAATAGTTTTTTGAAGCATTTGAAGGTACTTATTTAACTCCTAATTTTGCCAAAGGCAAATAAAGAATATAGGCCAAAGTAACCTCTGGTACAAAAGTCGTTCAGGGGCAAGGAGTGCTCACATGTGTCCCACAAGTTGCACGTCTGACTTTACATAAACAGAAATAATTTATAGATAGCTTTTTCAGTGCTAGTAATAACGGACTATCCACATTCTTGATTGTTCTACTGAGTATTTCACTTTTATCAGAGATTGAAGGTGGAGAGAAGGATCTTGCTTTGGCTTTTATCTGTCACAATCCTGTGGCTCTTGGTTTATTTTCTTTTTTAAACTCCCGTACGTATTCTGGGTTTCATAAGGATTCTTTCTCATTCTGTTACAAATTGTAGGAACTGGTGAAACATGTGCTCAGTGCCATCCGGGCCATTGCAGGCAATGATGATGTCAAAGATGCCATTGTCAATGCAGGAGGGACTGATCTCATTATTTTGGCCATGAGTCGCCATCTTGGCAACCCACAGGTAGGTTGAGAACATGGAAGTGTTTGCACCGGGAGAAAGTAGCTCTGTTTCAAGTGGTCTAAATCAGGGGTCCCCAACCGCCGGTCCGCGGACCGGTACCGGGCCGCGGAACAAGCCTTACCGGGCCGCTGGTTGCTGGGCGCCGCCATCTTTTTTGACGAAACAGCGCTTCCGGTGACGTCATAAAAAGATGGCGGTGCCCAGTTGACGCTGGTACCGGGCCGCGGCGCCCAGCTAATGCCGGAACCGGGCCGCGGCGTCGAAAAGGTTGGGGATCCCTGGTCTAAATTATCTATTCCTAGAGCTGTTACCTTACTTGGCATCTCTATTAGTGTGCGTTGGAGACTTCGTTTGCATACATCTGAACTAGACTGTGTTGTTTCTCTGTTTCATATAATATATGTGGGTATATGCATTATTTTGTATTTATTTAGTCATGTTTATGTAGTGCATATTGGAGGTGGTGACCCTTTGAGAACTGTATGCAACAAAATTTCATTTTAATGTATGCTGATTAGTGTACATTCAAAGTGACAATAAAGTTATTATTCCATTCCATTCGCTCTTCTCTTCTCTTCTCTTCTCTTCTCTTCTATTCTATTCTATTCTATTCTATTCTATTCTATTCTATTCTATTGCCATCAAGTCCATCTGTTGAAAAACTAACAGGAACAACCCAGAAGTTTTGGGAGTTAAAAGTCCACAAGTCATAGAAGGGCTACAGTACCCCACCCATGGTTTAGGCCAGCGGTCGCCAACCAGTGGGCCGCAGAGAAATCTGACCCCCAGAGCACACCTCCAAAGCAATTAATGCAGGCTGTGCAGAAACACAAGGCTGCGCCACCTACATGGCCCGCAGGAACCCTCCCCACCCACTCACTCCTTACCTGACAAACTTGCCTGCTAAATTGCTATTTTTCCTTTTTCCGACCATCATCTGTTCTGCTGTGCCGGGAGATTTAGATTAGCTAGGAAGCAGGAAACGGTTGGATTTCTTGCTTTCTACTAGTCTTTAGATCTCCGGCTCTGCTTTTAAGCACAGCCGAACCTCCCTTAGGACTGAAGGTTTGCTTGCAAGCAAATTCAGTGCAGACTCACGGCAAGCAAATTTGAGAGACTGAGCTAGCCGATGGCAGATAGATAGATCACTGAACGATTCTCTGAGCAACTCAATCTGCCTGCTTTGCCTGATTTTGGGTAAAAGTTGCTCTTTTTTAATAAAAAAAAATTCAATATTTACACACATGATGTGAGTTAATTTTGTGAGTTTGCTTGCTAGCAAATTTTATGTGACAGACTGAGCTAGCCAATGGCAGATAGATAGATCTCTGAATGAATCTGTGATTCTGTGAGCAACTCAATCTGCCTGCCTGCTTTGCTTGATTTCGGGTAAAAGTTGCTCTTTTTTATAAAAAATTCAATATTTATATACCGTATATACTCGAGTATAAGTCGACCCGAATATAAGCCGAGGCACCTAATTTTACACAAAAAACTGGGAAAACTTATTGACTCGAGTATAAGCCGAGGGTGGGAAATGCAGCAGCTACTGGTAAATTTCAAAAATAAAAATAATTAATTTGGGAAACGATCTCACTATCATGAAAGGTTTAATTGATTCACTAACCCAAAAGAAGAAGATGATGATGACAGCGGGAGGCAGGAGTCACTCTCTTCCCCTCCCTCGGAGGCCCCCTGAGTCAGGAGTCACTACCGCCGGCGCGGCCCCAGTCCCGCCGCCTCGGGAAGGGAAAGGCAAAGCGCTTTTTGCCTTTCCCTTCCCGGCTGGGGCTGTTGGGAGTCGCTGCCGCCGGAGGCCGCGACTCCACACCATTTTTTTTTCAGAGGGGAATCTGACTCGAGTATAAGCCGAGGGGGATTTTTTCAGCACAAAAATTGGGCTGAAAAACTAGGCTTATACTCGAGTATATACTGTAAATATTTATAATATTTACATACAAGCCATGCCCAACCAGTCACATGACCACCAAGCCACACCCACAAATTAGGCCATGCCCACAGAACCGGTTAGTGGTCCCTGGGATCTAAAATTATGACTTCGGTGGTCCCTGAGGTCCAAAAGGTTGGCGACCCCTGGTTTAGGCCAGTGATGGTTAACCTTTTTGTCCTCGTGTGCCAAAAGTGTGTGTGTGTGCTTGTTTGCGTGCCTGCACCCATAACGCAATGCGTGCGTGACCCATCTGCCACCCTGCGCATGCGTACGCGACCCCCATGCACAGCACACTTCTGTACATGCGCATGCGCCACACGCCTCTGCACATGCGTGCGCATCTCCTGCGTGTGCCCTGCCCCTGCGCGGCAGATACCCAACAATCGGCTGGCGGGAGGTGCGTGCACATGCGCAGTGGATCTGATCTGGGGCGACGGCTTGCGTGCCGGCAGAGATGGCTCTGCGTGCCACTTCTAGCACGCGTGCCATAGGTTTGCCCTCACGGGTTTAGGCCATCCAGGTTTGCTTCTATCCATGGTTTAAAGGATCCTGGCTTAGCACGGGTGTGAGCTCAGACATTGATTATTTCAGTATTTGGAAGCTGGGTAGGATTTTACTACTGGCTCTACTTGTTCTTGCTTTTAGGTGTGTGAACAGAGTTGTGCGGCATTGTGTATGCTAGCGTTGCGCAAGCCAGAGAACTGCCGAGTCATCATGGAAGGCGGGGGAGCCTTGGCAGCTTTGCAGGCCATGAAGACGCATCCCAAGGAAGTTGCTGTGCAGGTGATGTCATTATTCCCCTACTGGGACCACAGCTCCTTTCATGCTTTTCAGCCAGTCCA